TTTCTTGACTTGCGATCAGAATATCTGGAAGGACGAAACTTCGTGCAAGGTGTCCCTTTCACTGCTCAAGCCCAGCAAGGACCACCCCCACGAGTGCAGTCTGTGCCTGAAGGACGTCGGCGGGACACCATCGCTGGGAACGGACACCGGCGAAACTGATAGCCGGGGCTATTCTGGTGAGTGCCGAATGACAGCAGGACATGTGTGTCTGTGTGATAGACTATAATACTAATTTTTCGGCCTGAAACATTCCGAGAACGACCCAGTCGCAGGCTATTTCAGCGGTCCCCAGCGATGCCGGTTCGCAAAACAAAATTTTCCTCTTTTATAAAATCTCCAAATTTCAAAAAATACATACTACTTGTACAGTACACACAGTTCTAGTCTACATCGACTAGTCACCGGTACCTACATACATACATATGCATACACACTGGTATACCCTGTGTACAGCACAACCAACCTCCTCCGATGGCAAAGAAACTGCTGTGTATATGCTCAAGTAGAGCCTGTCGGGAAGCTGGTGGCATGGCCAGCCTTACCCTACCGTCGGATGACCGGAGGGCGAGATGGCTGAGATGCTTACTTTGGCGGCCGAACAGAACTACACGAAGCTTGGCGGGCGGGCGTCTCTCGTTCATGTCTCCCCAAGACCACCAATTGAAAAGCAACAAGCCGAATCAGGGCAGTGGCGGTTGCCCTCCGATTGTTCGCGGACGCAAGGAAGGGTGTGCTGTCCCAGATCAGACGGACGGGCAGACAAGGGAGGCGACAGTAGGAGCCTTGGAGAAGTTTCGGAAGGCCGAAGCTCCGGCCGAAGCTCGGTGTGCTGCCTTGGAAAACGAAGCCTCAAGGCAAGGAGCTGGGGCATCGGACTTGCTTGATAAATTGCGGCTGAAGGACGAAGCAAGGACATCTCTTCACTCCGAAGTTATGTTACTTGTTTCGCTTCAATAATGGTCGCCACCCACATCACAAGCGACGGTAGCGTTGTCGAACACACTCCCGGACGCCGCGAGCCCCTCTAGGTTACGCACGAACACGCTCCAAAAGCGACGGTGCTCTTACGGGACCACAGATACTACGCGCTCTGCGCTTGGCTGCAACCGCTTCAATTCAGGATCGTGTGGTTGAATCTCCCCTCCCGCCTGCCCCCCCCCCCCCACTCTGTGCCTTCCCCACGCCTGCCTGCCGTCCTTCTCACCATACCCCCCCCCAACGACATTATTATTCTCAGTGAAAAGATGAAATCGTCCTTCNNNNTCCGATGCCCCAGCTCCTTGCCTCGAGGCTTCGTTTTCCCAGGCAGCACACCGAGCTTCGGCCGCCCAAGGCTCCTCCTGCTGTCGCCTCCCTTGTCTGCCCGTCCGTCTGATCTGGGACAGCACACCCTTCCTTGCGTCCGCGAACAAACGGAGGGCAACCGCCACTGCCCTGATTCGGCTTGTTGCTTTTCAATTGGTGGTCTTGGGGAGAGATGATCGAGAGACGCCCGCCCGCCAAGCTTCGTGTAGTTCTGTTCGGCCGCCAAAGTAAGCATCTCAGTCATCTCGCCCTCCGGTCATCCGACGGTAGGGTAAGGCTGGCCATGCCACCAGCTTCCCGACATGCTCTACTTGAGCATATACACAGCAATTTCTTGCCATCGGAGGAGGTTGGTTGTGCTGTACACAGGGTATACCGGTGGCATATGTATGTATGTAGGTACCGGTGACTAGTCGATGTAGACTAGAGCTGGGTGTACTGTACAAGTAGTATGTATTTTTTTTTTTTTTCTTAATATGACACCACGAAACCATCTCCATCATAGAAAAGAGTCTGAGACAGATTAGCAATGGATTCATAGCGTCAGAAAAGTACCTGTATGTCTACGATTTCCCAGACAGCATATAGGGACATCTCCCCTGCGGGTAACAGGCTCAACAAGACAGTTTGGTGGTTGTCTTGTGTGTCTCATATATGTTAGAGGGAATCCACGTGTTGTTGAAATGACGTGAAAGATTGACATTTCAGGAAGTTTTGACGTGAAGAGGTTGCGCCGCTTTTTTGGGGGCAAACTCTGACGGCGAAATTTTTGTGAGGAAGCGTCAAAATTAAATTTCACCCAAACTTAAAACGACGCGAAAAGATTGACGCTTCAAACATCGCCAGACTGTGGCTCACACACGCTTGCTCTGCTGCCGTCTGCTGTGCGCGGTCAGCAGCGAACACATTGGCCATGCCTATACTGATTGCTCCTAGCGGTCCTGCACCCACGCGTCTCGGCAGTTCTCACGGCGGCCAAGTGGCCAGACGCGCGTGTTCGGCGCGCGCGTTCGGTAGATGCGCCGTCGCGATTGCGCACGGGCTTTCAGCAGCAAAAAGGGGCATAGGCAGGGGAGTGATTGGGGGAGTCTCGCCCTCGAAGGCAGCACATGGAGAGGAGTAAGGGAGGGTACACGGACTTTGCCAGTCAGTAGGTGCATTTCGCCCGCCCCCTCACGGGGTTCGGTGCTCTGCTGCCGCAGTGACATCGGTATATACACAGCAGTGCAGCGAGCAGCTGCCTTACTCATCAGCAACGAACGGCAGTTTGACGCCTGGGAAGTCGCAGTTTGACGCCTGGGAAAAGTCGCCGCGGCAAAGGAGGGAAGGTCGGCGGGATGAGGCGAAGGGGTACACCTAGTCTCCTGGGAGCCTGGGGGTGTGAGTCTTCGCTTCGGAATGTCGACCCTGGGTGGCAGCCCGAACCAACCTTGAACTCTACCTCCACCATTTTTTTTTTTCACCTCTCACGTGTCAACGGGCACACGCGGTGCGAATTTTTTCCCGTCAAAACCCTCAACCGTCACTTTATGTTGGCGTCAATCCTCAAAGGTCAAAATTCCGCGTCAATCCATAGTGGATACCCTATGTTATGTTGGGAAGGTGCAGATGATATGTGTTAGGTACTGGTCGGGCGTTTTGTGTGTGGCACCCTTTTAGCCATATGGAATGCAATCTTCCTCGGTTTTCAAACGTATGTTCAATATGGTACGCGTATGTACCGGGTATTTGGGTATGTATATAATACACCATGGTGTTATTATATACAGACAGCACTTCAGACACGAGATTTTATAAAAGAGGAAAATTTTGTTTTGCGAACCGGCATCGCTGGGGACCGCTGAAATAGCCTGCAACTGGGTCGTTCTCGGAATGTTTCAGGCCGAAAAATTTAGTAGTCTATAGATCCTCACATCTCATTTTTTTCTCTCTTTTTTCACACTTACTTGGGCAACCTCGTGCCGGAGGCCGTCGGTGCAGTTGTCGTCGGGACACGGCCACCCCTCAACGCCGAGCGTCAACAGTGCGCGCGGCTTCACGATCGGCGCGGAGGCTTGTTGTTGCTTGCGCTTGAGTGGGGAGGCCTTGGACAGGGTGTTCATGACTTGAGGCTGCTGTTCGGTTTCTGGGGGTGCACTGCTGTCGGGGGTGAGATGTGGGCGTCCTGTGTGCTCTGTACACGTCGTTCGTGTTGTTGAAATTCCCAAAAAAATGAGACGTTCTACGTTTCAGAAGAAATTCTCACTTTCGTTCCATGATCTCGGAATACATGCCAATGAAACACAAACCACAGCGCGGAATACATGCTGAAACACATACCACAGCCGCGCCTTGCTATTATTGCCATCAGTTCAGTTGCTCAATCAAACCCAACGTACTTATAACAATACACACCTTCTTGCCGTACACGAGAGAGAACACATTTACAATCCATTGCAGTTGTACAGCAGGGAAAAAATTCCAGTACTTTGTTGTTGTTGTTGTTGTTGTTGTTGTTGTTGTCTTCACATTAAAAACCGTTCCGATCTCTCTCTACCCAGTACCTTCGTATGTCCGTACTGATCCAACACTCGACGCGGTCGATTCCCGTGGTCACAGGTTAACTTACCCTAAAAAGGTACACTCAAATAAACTGGCCCCGAGGGGTCCGCAAGTCAATAGAAAATAGTAGTGAGGGTCATCATAGACTATTGTGCATGACGAATACATAAAAATAAAAAAAACGGTCCACCAATCAGATGGCTGATTCTTTTTTTAAGCGACACAGTCCCGAGCGGAGGGGTCCGAGGCACAGAGAAAAGTGCGAGCTCGCCGTTTTGGGCCGTCGCGCCGGCGCGGACAGCTCGGCCGTCGCTGGTCGCCCGGAGCCCCGAGCGGTGGCGTCTCGCTGAGAGAGGGCGTCCGGAGGGCTCCGCGGAGCGGGAGGGCGAGCGGCGGCCCGTGCGTCTCAGGCCGAAATCGTCTCGAGTTGAGGGTTGCGATAATTACCCCGCTGCTCGCTGAGGGGCCGAGCGGAGGCTTGAGCTAAAAATACCTACCTGTGGGTGTGGGGGGGGGTCGTCGATAGTAAAAAGAAAAAGTGGAGGGAAGGAGGGTGGGCCGGCCGTGGTTGGTTGGTGGTGGTGTGTTTGATGACGAAAGTTCAGTTGGGTTATATTTCATGAATGACCTCCTTGCTTGATCTTGGGTCGGTCGGTTGGTTGTTATTGTGTTGACTGAGGCTTATTTTGAGTTATAGGTTTCGGTGGGTGATGGTGGTGGTGGTGGTGTGGTCCGCTCGGGTAGCTCGGGCGGCCTTCCTTGGGCTGCCTTTTTCATCGATTGCGCCGCCGGCGCACAACGAAATCAACGCAAACAACCAACAACCGAACCGGGGAACGACTGTTGTTCAGAACGATCGATCGCACGGAGCTACAAAGTCATCACAGACAGACAGACAGACAGACAGACAGACAGGTCAGGTGTGGTGAGAACGTGTAGCTATGTAGCTATCCTGAAAACTCACTTTCTTTGTTCTTTTGTTCTCTTTCTTGTTATCTCTCAACACAGTAGTAACAGTACACTTGCTGTTCCTAGCTCCGTAGATAGACTGAAAACGGAAGGAAGGGGGCACGGGCCGCTCCTTGCTGAGAGGGGGATGCTATGGCTATATCCCCTATTTAGCGGTATTCGAAAGGAGTTGTTGTTCCCGACAGATATATATATATAATATATACATAATATATATCTTGCCGAGAACTGCCTTGTACTCAAATACCATATCACAGGTACAGGCGTTAATGAATGCAAGCAAGCACAACAACAGCATTTTTATTTTATCATCATCATCATATCACGATCTATCCTCCCTTCTACTCCTATTATTATTATTGTTCTTCTTGTTGTTGTGTAGGACAACCAACCATCCATATGATGATTGATTGCTTGTTGTATTGTGTCCCTGCTACCTCCTCCTCCACTCCGTGGAAGCTCTAACTTATTTAATGGTAGAAGTGCATCCCGAAGGTGGCGCTCTTCATGACGTATTCTTTGTCCTTCACGTAGTCTTCTGGGGCCTGTCGACGGGATTCCCTGGACACCTAGCTAGGTATGACCACGTTTGGAACGACGTAAGGAACAGGCCGCGACCAAAAAACAACAGCAGCAGCAACAAGTAAGTGAGAAAAAAAGTGTAGCTCATCGCTCTCGTTTCGCACGGACTAAGATTCATTGCGAATGATGAGTGGAAGCTAAGAAACTCAGACACGTATGTATTTATGTATGCATGTACAAGTATGTGTGCTGAATCATCTTGCTTGCTGTGGATAGGAGCAGCACTACTCTTCGGCCGTTGAGCATATATATATTATATGTATATAGACAGCAGGCAAGAATGAGAGGGGAACGAAGTCGTCACGTTTGTTTTAGGTTGTAAGTAACGCCTGTGTTGAGAAGCACAAAATGACCACTAGATAGACCACCACCAGTCAGTTCAATCAGTCAGCCGCTGACTGGTCTGGTCTATCTAGTGGTCATCGTGTTTCTCAACAAAAAAAGTTAATGCCCGCGTCCGGTCTATTTAGTTTGCAGCCACGAACACGTCCGTCCCCCCAGGGTTGCCATCCCTATGGTCAGCGCTGTCTTGCCCGGAGATCACATCATCTATACAATTAGAGGTTCATCGGCTTCTTTATTGCGAAGCCTATTTCTCCTCAAACTTTTTATTCCCCTCGTATGTCGAGCGGAAAGGAATTTATGCTCGAGGGGGGATTCGAACCCCGGACACTAACTAACTTGTTTGTGTTGAGAAGCACGATGACCACTAGACTACCGGTAAGAGCTGACTGGTGGTCTAGAGGTCGTTGTGCTCTCGACGTGTTTGCACTTGTTCCTTTCAAGAAAGTAAGCGTAGAGAGAGGGAAACATGCAACCAACTGAATAATATGTGTGTTTAGCTTCCGTACGCTTTTCACGACGACAACGACACGCCCGCACGTCCGTGCACATGACAATCCTTCCCCCCTCTTCACCCCATGATCCCCCATCCTCCCTGCCTCCCTCCCTCCTTCCCTCCCCCCCTCTCGTATTCGACGCACGGTTGCTTCAAAACCAAGTCGGCACTGTACAAAGAGAAATAAATGCCTTGGCGGCACCTCTTTCATCTAGCCACATACAACACGTACCTTGTTGTAGTAAAATATCCCCCCACCCATCTTGTCTGTATACGGAACCCATTGTCCGTACGCCTTCAGAGCTTTAAGCCTAGCGGCATCAGCCTCCCTGTCCCCCACGGCCCGCGCGAGCTT